AGCCACAAAAAATTCGATATATTTAATATTATTGGTGGAGCTTTTCACAGATAAGCTTTTTCTCTTAACTGCATGTCTAGTTAAAATGAAGCAACCTTTTTCGATATTACACACTGTGAAATTTCTTTAAAAAATCATGTAGATATCGCATAATAGAAGCACAAAACATATTATTTTTATATACTTATATCTTCTTTGACTATAAAAATACAAAAAATGAGAAACGTTACAACAGTGTTTCCACTTTTTTATATTTTTGTAAACCTGCAAGGACATACTTAACCGATAAAAGCTCTCTCTTTCTCTCTCTCTCTCTCTCTATATATATATATATATATATATATATATATATATATATGTCGCTGAATATCTAAAATACAAAACAACCTTCTTAAGGTATTCTTTGATTTGACTATAGAATTTAATACAAAATATAATATTTCGGTAATTAACAGGATTAAAATTCGATAGTTTTGACCAAAAGTAGTAATAATAACTGCATAAGACAATAGTAATAATAAAGTAGTAATAATAACTGCATAAGCGAATATTTTGAACCTAAATGGGCTTTATTGTTTGTGTTCAATTGTTATACTTCTTAAAATTTGTAATATTATACGAAAACTAGAAAGCAATTTATATTTAAAAAGTAATTATTTAATAAATGTTTTTACAGTACAATATCTAGTTATAAATTAATTAGCGAGAACCTACTAACTTTATTAACTTCCCGAAAAGAAGTTTATAATTTCGTCAAAAAATTCGATTTGCCAATTTTGTTTTCTGAATGTTTCAAGTCATTCTGAATCGATTGATACCAATATTTGAAAAAGTATGTGTGCGTTTGTGTGTCTCCTTCGGGAAGTTAATAAAGTAATTCCAAATATCAAGATAGCAATTTCTATATAAAAAAAGAATAATTATGAATTAAAATTCATCTGAACAATCTGAAAATAGGCAACTTAAACATTACCAAACTCGAAATAAAATTAGAATCAATCTATCAAATTATTGAAATGGTTGGTTAGATATTATAAATCCAGATATTTAAAAAGGTTTTAACTATCAAATTAAATTTTACGTAACATTTAATAAATAATTTTCTAAAGTTTATTCAAAAATACACAAATCATTCAATAAACTATTTTAATTAATGTCAATATCATCCATCACAGACATTTACTACTACATTTCTCCAATAAGAGAGCATTCATATGCTGATTTCTCATAATGGAGCACACGCGTGCATAAATACAAACACATGCTGCAAACCTTTCAATTGAAACCGTGTGTAATACATAAAACGTATATTTTACAGGTAATACAACACATTATTACACAAATTACACAATCACTTACCTACCTATCATAACGTTTCATAATAAATTCCAAAGTCGTGTGCAACGAAAAATATTCTTAAAGCGAGATGAGCTTTCAAAGCATACTTGTATTATATGAACTTTTAAAGGTTGCGTTGTAAACGAAACACGCATGTATGAATAGCTTTTGAAATTGTGATGGATTTATAACATTATTTCAGTAAAAAGTCTACAAACTTGTAGTTTTGAATTATTAACGTCCAGAAAGTTATGAACTAAGTAGTCGTGTATTATTCGCCAGGAACTTGAACACTTAGCAAATAATACACATATTAGAAAGTTCTTCCACACAGTAAAAAGGCTTTTGCATTTACTAATTTCTTTTAGAAAACAATGTAAACAAAAAAGGCTACATAATATCGCACATTATACAAATACTATAACATAAATGTTTTCTCCGCCGATTACGCTGTTCATCTGAATTCCCAAGAGACGCCCACATGAGTTTATGTAAAGACTATTAGCCTATTGCAAAATATCCTGAAAAATCAGATGAATACAACTTTCCAATTGTTTAGATCTTCAGGAAGAGTTTAGATTCTCCGATGGATCATGATTAAAAGTTATACGGGTGGATAATTGGGATTGTATAACAAAGTTACAATAGGTTTGGTATATTTTTACAGCATTTCCTGCATCGTGATCTTCTTTCTATCAATTGCGTGAGATAAATGGTGAATTGCAAAAAATCGATAGTTCAATGAATAGAAAAAATACAATGCAGTCTATTGTTACAATTAAAAGAATTTTATAGAACACAGTAGAGTAATTGCTGTTGAACAGCCATTTTTAAGTGCATTTCGCTTCCGCTTATGTCAGGAATTCTTAAACATAGTATTTTAGTTTTAACAACAATCACACTAATTTAATAAAAATTTGGAATGTCAAAAATTACTCTGTGTCGAAAAATAATACGTATTATTTTAAAATTAGATTTACTTTGCAGTTTCATAAAAAATTTAATATATACCTTCCAATAATATAAAACTTTCCAAATATTATGCTAAAATAACATAACAAAAAGCACTAAATCAGAGATTTTGGGAAAGGTTGTAGCATGAATCAAGTCAAGAATCAACATTTGTTTTAATTTTTAGTATTTATAAATAAGTAATAAAAAATATAAAATAATAGAATATAAAGATGCTGAATACAAAAGCGCCAAAAAATCGACTAACTCATCTCATACTCTCAGAACATATCTAATGATTACAAAACAATACTAAATAACTGCACAAATATGTAATCAATAGTAATATCAATAGTGCGATTAGTTATGAATATTACATATATAAAAATGATCTTTTGGAATAATTTTTATGATGGCTAAATGAGCACCGGTCAAACGCAGTAAATATAAAAAAGTTTTAAAATTATGATTACACTTATTGTATGGTTCGTATAAAAAATAATAATAATAACAATTTTTTTTATTGTGCATTTCATAAGGAGAATTTCATTGTAAAACGTAGTGCATAAATAGTACAATTTGAGCACATAAAATTCCTAAATAAATCAATAAACTTTGAGTTTTAGTAGAATGCCTTAATATATAAATTTGAGTTTTTAGTAGGATGCCTTGTTATATATTAAGGCCTTCTTATATTTTCGAATTTACCTTATTGATTATGCCATTAATTTTTAGAAACTAATTATTACTTCCAAACCTGACAAATATTATTTGAAAGATGCCTTATTTTGAATATTGCTTATAATTTTAATTGTGCATATATTTTGTTCTAAAAGAAGTAGGATGTCTATACTATATATAACATTTCTTTCAAATATTATTTAAAATAGAAGAGTGCTAAATGCAATTCTGATTAGCGTTATTAAATATAATTTATCTGCGAAACAAAAATACTTTGAGTAATATATAGAGATAATTTTTCTTTATAAATTAATTGAACTTAGTAATTAGTATAGTGATAACAGAAATCAAGCAAAAATCTGAATGTAATTAAAACATTTAATAGTAAAAAATAACCTATTTTGACTAATTACCGAACAATGTGTCCCTACGATCGTAGAGTTAACCAAGGTATATTTTGCTACTGTAAACAGTATGAATCACTGCCGACACAATAAACAATTTGCGCTATAGAATCATCACAGCAATCTTCATTAACCGCATTCTCCCATAATATCATTGAATTAGATCAAGTACAAACGTATTTGAATAAATTATATAATCATTTTTCCCGTAATAATCGCTGTGATTTGCTGCAAAATAATAAGTAAACGTCCAAGTAGTGATATTACATTCCGTGTGTGAAGATTACAAATCTTTCTATACCACTATTCCACCTTGCGTCCGTAGAAAAAAGCATACATCGACGATTGTCCCCCGCTCGACAATCGGCTTAATAAATAATCGACTAGTTTACCTTGATTTTATTGTCATATAGAATCATGTGTATTAGTTTGTTAAACATTCACTTTTGTATGCGTACATGATACAACAAAGCTTAGAGCTTTGACTTAGAAGAGGAAATAGCGCATAGTGTAGATCGGGGTGCCCCCTCACTAAGAAAGACCTAGAGCCAATGAAAACACTAATTTAAAGAATTAAAAATCTTGTATTTATATATTTTAAACATATTACTTCTTATATATTTTATAATAATTATCTTTATGAAGACTTTTGTCAGAATATATTATATTTAAATCTGACATTTTGTAATAGAGGTTGAAGAAAATAACGTTCTAGGTTTGATTATTCGCCTTGCTCTTTTTGAAATTGATTATTATTCAAATAATTCAATTTTCTTTACAATTGTATTTTTATAATAAATTATATGCAACAGGAAGTAATTATTTAATATACATTCATATTTTTATACAAGTTATTAAAAATATTTAGACAGGAAACAGGTATAAGTGAACAGGAAAAGCTGGGTACGGTTGTGCCAGGTTATGGTAGTGACAGCTAACCTATACTGATTTTCAGATAGGGTCCAAAGGGAGAAAGATGAAGTGTTGTTGTTCAAACAAGTTTTCATTATTGTATTGAGTCGCATCACCCTACAATAACATGACCTGTAGACTGAATTGCTTTTAAAGAGCCGTTTTTCTTCGATATTTTTTAATAATAACTATTACTCGTATACACATAGATCGCTTTGTTACTTTGCTGTGAGGAGAACATGAGTAGTTAATTCGCAGCAATCAGTTTTGTTTTATATGAAGATTCAATAAAATAAAACAAAAAATGTCGCAGAGATTTCCCGTTTAAAAAATTATGTGCTAGTATATATTGTTATATTATATGCATGAGCTTTGTTTCAATTATTATATTGTGTGGAGTTACATATTTCTGACAATAAAAGTTGTTATAAACCATTTTGGTGTTTTTTAACTATTTTTTACTTATTTTTGTCCCTGTCACAACCCTCTCTCGGGTGTGGACGCTTGTTTTCCTAGTCTTTTTTTTATATGATGTGATTTTATGACTAATTCAGCATTGCAGAATTTCCAGAATTATGTGCAAATAGGATAATATATTCAATGTTTGTTTTTCAATAATATCTTGCTATTTTTATATCAAATTTAAGAGACAATACCTTATCTAAAAATATGCAAAACTCGGAAGATTAATATGTAATTTCTATTTTATTTCAGAAGCCTCCGCGGTTGCTGCATTCATTTCTACTCTTAGCGATACTGACAGTTTTGTTTGCCCCTACTTCAGATAGTGCTCAAAGTATGTATAATAATTATGTAATTTTTAATATTTAAATATATTTTTATTGATAATGATTAACAAATCATAAAATGTGCTGTTGTGCAGGTTCCGTTCAGTTGTGCTACAGAAGGGTCACTCGTGCGAAAGGGTTAATATATGGAAGCAAGCGGCTTCTAACAGTTTTTTTTAAATCAACTCATTTTGAGATTTACCGATTATATTTTTACAAAATCGAAATGGATAAATGATGTAACTATTCATCTACATTATCAAGTAGAAACAGATTTATAACTATTATTTATTATTTCACAATTAATCATTTTCTAGGAACAAGTCTTATCCCGTAATTGTAATATCTACGAGACCTGCACATGACTAAATTATGCAGGAGATTTACATATCTAATAGAGTCAAAGATATATTTTAATCTTGGTCAAGTTTTTTTTAAAAAAATGCCAGTGACTATTTACTTATCCCTGTTTCAATAAGCTTCTACTTTTCCTTACGTTTTTTTTATAAATTTGTTTCGTTTGACCTAAGTGCGATTCAGAACAATTTTTGCAAGTTATTTTGTATGTCGCGTTGTATTTCTTCATATGCGGTATAGTAAGGTGACCATATAGTCCCGGATTTCAATGTTGTGACTCGGATTTAAAACTATAATATAATAAAATATTATAGTTAATTATTATTATATTTGATTATTCGATATAATTATATCAAACAATACGTTGCCTAATTCAAAATTTTAAAGGCGGGTTAAAATAGTGTACATATTATAACATAATCGATAAATAAAGTTTATACTAAAAGTCAGGAATTTTGATTTAAAATTTGATTTAAAACTGAATTTCATTGCAGCATTATATTATTTGTTTCTTTAAATCACAAGTTATTTAGCATGAAGAACAAACCCCCCTCCCCTACACCCGTCCCGGATTAGCATGACTAAAAGTAACCGTCGCGGCTTTGACCATAAAAATTATGGTTTTAGGAAAAATAATTAAATTACGTAGTATGTCGCAAATAAAAATATAGGTAATACCGAGTTCAATTAACAAAAAAGTTCAATTTTCTTCCTCAGCGACAAGGCGAAGAATTCGTAGACCCGTAATATCAACATCATCCTCGACATCGTCATCGAGTTCAGCCAGTACGAAAGTCAAAGTGGTGACGGCTGCTCCTTCGGGCGCCGTAGCAGAGAAGAGATCATCGACGGAGCCAAGGCCGGCAGCGAGCGTGAATCGGTTCCGCGTTCGCACGAGGCCCTCGAAGGCCGGAGCAAAGGTCCAAGCCGCCGGCACCTCTGTCAGGCTCACCGGCAAAAAGGATAAAGAGGACAAAGATGGAGCAAAGGTAAGGTCTCTTACGGTTCTAGAAATTTGATCGGGGTTTTATTGAGAGATAAAAATGAGTCATTTAATGGTGAGTCCATTGGTAAGATTTGCCTTGAACTGTTCAATCATTCAATTTTAATTTAACGACTGATCTTAGAATTTGTTAAAAGACCGACTTTTTTATTATTAGCAATTGACACAATATTTCTCGAACTGTTCAGAATTCATTCGAAGCTATCGATTGAATAACAATATAATTAGTTTCAGAAGTTCTAAATGACTATATAGGAAATATTTATTTTCAATATTTAAATTGAAATATTTATTTTCAATTAGCTAAAAATATTTATTTTCAATATTCTACTCAATAAAAATGAGTCATTTTTAATTTTTAAGTGTTGAATTCATTTTCATTTGAAAACTTATCTTATAATTAATTTTAATAAATTAGATAATTAGAGTTGTGAAACAAATTTATAGAGCTGTTTCTCTCAATAATAGCAATTGAAACCACAATGTTTCCTCAACTGTCCAGAATTTAATCGGCAGCCATATATTGGGTATACATATAATTAGTTTTAGAAGTTTTAAATTGATTGGTTTTTAATATGCTGCCCATTTAGGCATTTTGTTTTAAAGACTGATCTTAGAATTAATTAAAAAAATGTTTTACAAACCGTCCAGAAATCAATCAAAAATTATTTAATATTGTATTATTATATTATGTTGAAGATAAAATAATGTGAACACATTATTTTATCTTCATAACGCGATTCTCTAATCTAAAATTTCTAATGAAAAATTAGTAGTGTTAGACTTCTTTATTTTATTATTTGGGAAATGATTTATTTAAATAAAAATTTGTAGTGAAAATGCAATAATTAATAAATTAAATAAATGTTTTAAATGCGCATTGAATTTAAATCGAGCTGCATTTTTGCATCAAACTACATGCATAAGCTTAATTAATTGATATTGTAACTTTTTATACAAAACAAATTACTTATATGAACGCATAGATAATTAGTAATTAACAGATAATTATTGAACAAATATTTCTAACATAATTCTCAAGTGACATATTTAATATCGACATACTTACCTCAATAAACTATATGCACATCATGTATAAAAATCTTTACAGGATCTATAGATAAAATAATATACAAATTGTATTACAATGAAGTAAAGATAATTTCATAATTAATTTCCTTGGCCCAATGCTTTTCCTTGACTCGGTTTCATTTAAATGATGATACTGATAGTCCACGTAATTCATTAACTATCCTGATTAAAATCGCACGATTTATTGTCATCAAATAATTACTTTATAGTGATTAATGATAATTTGAAATTAATATTGTGAAATAAAAAATATGAATAATGTGCAAATAATATAATAGTAATGTGAACTTTTTTAGTTATTTTCAAGATTGCCTAAAAGTAAAATTTTGAATATAATTTATATTAATTTGCCTGTAAAAAAATTAAACCAAACCATACAAAAGATATTAGGTTTTTAAAAGTGAATTAATGTGGAAAAATTATGAAACAGACCAATAATAATAACATAATAATAATAATAATAATAATAATAATAATTAATAACATAAAAGTTAATGCGTTTAGTATTTTATTATTCAATTTTTATTTCAGATCGTATGTTATTACACAAATTGGTCTCAATACCGGACTAAAATCGGTAAATTCGTTCCGGAAGATATTCCAGCAGATTTGTGTACACACATAATATTTGCTTTTGGTTGGTTAAAGAAAGGAAAAATGAGTTCTTTTGAAAGTAACGACGAAACTAAAGACGGAGTACCTGGTCTCTATGACAGGGTAAACTCTTTGAAGAAGGCAAATCCTAAATTGAAGGTTCTACTTGCCATTGGTATGAAATAGTTATAATAATAAAAGAAATATAATTTTTAAATTATTTATTGCTTTGCTAATATCAATTCCATCAATTTATGTCGTCATTATTAATATTAAAAATGTTACTACAGTATTAATTATATAAATTTATACTAATAATTAATATATTTATTAATTGTAATTTTTATTCTATTTACAGTTTTCATTCATGGTTTTATTAATACATTTGTTTACCTTTAATTATCTTATTATAATTTTTGTATACTTTTTAAAGATATTAGCATTTGCCTACATCAATACTATTAATCCACATATTCTCTATTTTTTATTTATAGGTGGTTGGTCTTTTGGAACACAGAAATTCAAGGATCTATCAAAAACTAGATATACTCGCCAAACCTTTATTTATTCAACAATACAATTCTTGAGAAAACGAAACTTTGATGGACTCGACATGGATTGGGAATATCCAAAAGGATCAGATGATAAAAAGAATTTTGTTCTACTCTTGAAAGGTAAGTGAAACTAATATTTCAAAAGTGTAAATATTATTTTCAATTCTAAATGGCTAAAATAATATATAAGTTTGCATTGAGACTCTTGTGATTAGGTTATATTTTATGGAACGCTATTAAGAAAGTAATTTCATAGGTTTCTCTTGCTATTGGTTGATTTCAATTGGTTTTAAATTATGAAATATAATATATCAATAACATATTTTTGATCTATATCTTAAAATGAAAAAAGATAATACTACTCGTTGATAATTATGAAATTATAAATATATTGCAACATAGAAGTTGCAACTAAGTTACAGTTGAAATTTCTAATATAAATATAAATTCTAATATAACTAAATAATGATATTGAGAAAATAATATATTTAAATTCATTTTGAATTATTGAAAAAAATTATATATGAAAAATCAATGTTGTTCACTTTTATAAAAATTATAGGTATACAATATTAAAATTTACGTAAATTTTAAAATACTTTCTAAAATATCCTCAAAAGTATCCACGCTTTTACATAATTAGTTATACCTTTTTTTATTCTTTACTTGAGATGGAATATTTTAGCTAATATTCAATCAAAAAGTACTAGTTAATAAGCATCATTTTCGATCGATAGTCATTATTTTTTGTGTTTCCAAATTTACAAAGAACCCGAAAAAACTTGGAGGACATAAATGAAATTTTGAACTGTCATAAAACTAAAAAATGTGTTAATATAACCGCTTATTATTCTAAATAAACTATATAAATTAAAAGCAATTTTCTAAAATTAAAGTATTAATTTGCAATAATCAAGTGAGCTAATAGTACAATATAGGCAATATATTTGAATAATTATTTCCATAACATGGAATACCAAATTGAAACTAAAATGCGGGTGAAAGTTAATATAACTTAAGCAATAAATATTTGAGATAACTCCTTTTATATACTCTACAATTTACTATCAAATAAACATAATATAAAATAATTTTCATTTTCATCTCAATCATCGAAGCAATTACTGTGATACGTAACAGTTCAATTGCCGCCCGTCCAAGCACAAATTCTAATCAATCAATGATACCTAGAATTCTGACAGAAGACTTTCTCATTTATCAATAACTTTAATTATAGTCTTTCTCTCATTTGATATAACAATTACTCTCATCTTCCGTCTCATAATTATAGATTTCGTAATTCGTTACCGATTTAAGTTTCATAACCCATTAAATGAACTGAAGCGTGTAATGTTTTATTCAAATTCGCATGTAATCCTGTGATCTTAGATCTCTTTTAGAGACTGGTTTGTTACTAGAAATTGCAAATGAAAGTCCGCGAATTGTAAGTTTTTTTTATAATAACAACAAGATTAATATTTCCGGCGAACCGCAGATCATGTTAGAAAGCAAATAGGAAAATGAGGAAGAGCGTTAACTATTGACTTCACGATTTTGCCAGTTATCATTGCTTTTGATGATCAAAATAATAAATTCCACGTGTGGAATGGCAAATAAATTGTAATATACGTAAAATTACATTATGTTTCCTGCATAGATATTAAACATCCATTACGCGAGAGGAAAATTGTGTGGTGAAGACGAGCTAATGATGTCTTGATTTGTTTATATGATATGAAAGCTATGTTTTGTAATATTTGCTAAACGGGCGTAAATTGAGAAAATGGTTATTAATGCCAAGAATTTTCCATGAAATAAATGATTTATTCAATGTAATTTCAACTTTTTGTAGAAAATTTCCAAGTTAGGTATCGCAAGATGGCAAAGATGCCATCTACCATCTCTAGTATTTACATTTAATAATAGAAAATTTTTACTAATTTTGCTCAAGATATCAGTACTTGTCAAAAATCATATTGTTTTCTTTATATATTATTTAATATATGTATATGCACATATGAATAAACATAACCAATAAATACATATAGGTATATACAATAAAAAAAACACCTCAATAAATATAAAAGTAATTATATGATTATGAAAATTTTGATTTTATTAATATTTAAGTAAACTATTCATAACACACAATATTAATTACAAATATACAGTTTATTGAAATAGTAATTAAAATCTAAAAAAAAAACAATATGGATGATAATGGGAAATATTACCACACATGGCATTTTAAACGTAAACCAAAGTTTTTGAGAAACTTAAAGTGATGAATTTAAATTTCACGTTTTTTAAATTATTTTTTTATTAAAAATATATATCTTTATGGGGAAATGCAAACACTTTCGTAAAGTTTTTGCACGTGACCTTTACCATGTCAAAAGTTCAACAATTTCTCTAAACTCATTCATAACAATATCGTAACCATTAAAACAAATAATACACTCTCCTCCCATTCATTTCTATCCAACGGTCATCAAACCGAACTATTTGATTCATAAAAAATATATAACGCTCGTTGAAAATATTTACTAATTGATTGTACAATCGAAAAAGCAAAAATTCTGCTCGACAAAAAAGCGAAAGTGGAAGAAATTAAGAGTTCGGGATTAATGTCTTCATTAACAAACATGCGTAACCGACTTGTATAATTTGCGATTATTTAATAACATAATTATTCAAAGAACTTGAGATCGTAAAGTAGTAGAAACATTAGTCAGAAATGACAATTTTTAAAGACGACGAATGTTATTTGTTATGCAAAGAACTACGTTAACAGACCGAATACAAGATGACTGATTTTTAATCATCATTCAATCATTTGTATACCGCTCGATTCCTATATTTGTTACAAGGTAATTACTTAATTTAAGTTTTTTTATAAAAATAAAAAAATTAAAATCAAATGAATCTTTTTTAATTAAAATTAAATATAATTTTTGGTAACAATGCAGTTATGTTAAATGCTAATGAAATTTTACGTATATTCATAATTTATTTTCATTTAAGTCCATAATAAATGGTAAGTTTTAGTCCATATGTTTTGTCGGGATATTATTCAGAACTTCCTAGAGTTCATAATAATAAAATATTAAGTATTGACTTACTAAGGGAAATTTTGCCAACTATACTGATGATTATTTCTGCCGAAATACTAGATCAAGATTATGTACAGTGTGTTATCTCTGTAAAAAATGTATCCATGAAATTTATATTTTGCATTGGTGAATGATGTACCTATCGTTTCGTAAAATTCCTTTAAAATTAAAAATAAGACATTCGATTTGTTTGCCCCCTGGCCGTTCCATTTTATTTTACCTATGGAGTAAAAAGGGAGAAATGATAAATTTTTCATAACTAAATACTTTTTGTAGACGGGTTTTAGGATATTCTTCAAGTTAATAAACGTTAAAAAATTTAACAAATAATTATGAAGAAACGGTCCAGCCGATCTTTATCAAAAACTACCAATCAGCATGATTTCCAACTTTTCGACTTTGATAACTTTTAAAGTTTTTTTAATGTAATGAAAATGATTAGTTCATGTTAAAATTTAAACTCTGAAGGATTAAATGCTAGTTCTACATTATATTGAAGTACATTTTATATTTTTAGTGAAAACAAAGTAATGATAAGATTGAAATCCTAATCAAATTTGTTGAAATCCTAATCGAATATAACATTAACTGAACATTATCAGTTAATGAATGTAACATTAACTGAACCTAATTATTTTACATCAAAAAAATTTAAACACTTTATACAATAATCGAGGCACATTTTACTTCAACATAAATATTTGAAAATGCCTTCATACTGATTATATATAATAAGCATAACTGTCCAGTGTTATATGTTTAATTACATATTGTATTCAGTACTTTGTTTACACAATTTCTAATAACAATTACTATAACAATTACACTAATTCAATACAATTTGATATAATCTCTAATAATAAACAATTACCTTAAACTACATGTGAGAAGTTTTAGTAACAGTTGTTAAATATACTCGCTTATTTAATGAAAGGAATTTTTCTACTTTGTGTCTACATTCAGATGACATGTGAATACGAGTTGATTTAAACAATTTGTTAATTATACACCGAGGTTTTGTGTATAAAGACATCTATTAACTTTCACCTGCCGCGTCTCGGATCGGTGCGATGCATGAGAAATTTAGCACGAACCATTGGGGAAAAATTCAAAGAAGAGAAAAATAAATTGCTCCTTGCTACTTACCACTCACAAAATAGTTAATTAAAAAAAAATTTAGATACTCATTCTGGAATGTTATTTATAATCGCATTTTCAAGAATTTCAATGCAAACTTTTCTTATTTCGTTAAGAAAATTTTATAAAATAAACTTTGCTTTGACTAACCTGCAAATGCTTTAACTTTAAATTAAGAATTTTGTGCGCTTTTTTTAGCATGGACTGAATTATTGCTGAAAATTATAATATACTTTGTACATTGTTTGTTTATTTATATGAATTGAATTGAAAGCCAATTTAAAGGTTCTATTATATTTAATTTAAATACATATGTGTAAAAGATTGCATGTCTATACGTATGTGTGTGTAAGACAAAATTTGGCATTTCGCCTATGTTTTCTCAAAAACGGCTTCGCCAATTTAAAAGCCATTTGATAAAGGACTTGCGTTGATTAATTTTAAAATAAACTCTGTTCATAGAGTCGTTTATTTAGAGTCGTTTATTTAGAGTCGTTTATATAGAGTCGTTTATTATTTTCAAAATCGATTTTAATGAAATTTTGCTTACAGTAAAAGACACAATGGTCTTAATGATCTTTCTAAAATACTAAAGACTTACGAACAAGTTTGCTTTGTGAATATTTATAAAAGTTTGAAATTATGGATCGTGCTTTTTAGATATACAAGCGAGTGTTCATGCAATTTCAGATATTATAAGTTTTATTTAAAATATGTCAATTTGCCATATGTCTGTACCAAAATTGTTTACGAAAATCATAACCTCCTCGTTTGACTCTGTGTGTATCTTCAAAAAAACCGTTACGGGTGCATACTACATCATTACTTGACAAGATAAATGCACAAATTGCACATAACAGCCAAATTTGC